GTTTACCATGCTTCCTAAGTCTGACTTAACGGAAACTTTGACTTAACTGAGACAGTACAACTGACCCCAGGTTCTACACACGGCTACGCAATCTGCAATGATCACGTGGAGCGTTCAAGGGGGATGAATGTGGAACTCATATCTGGCGCATGCGCAAAGGGATCACATTCTGATTGGCCGGCGACGGTCTGTCGCTAGACGCATGTCTTATTTCCTGCACAGCGCCATGCTATATAGATGAGGATGCGCATGCGCCTTCGTTGCATGCGCCGTTCTCCATTGCACATACTTGTCTAGCTCTTTTTCAAGCCACCACGTGGGGCAAGCTGCGATGGCCGAGTGGTTAAGGCGTTGGACTTGAAATCCAATGGGATCTTCCCGCACAGGTTCGAACCCTGTTCGCAGCGTCAACTTTTTTTCGCTTTCCCTTCTCGTGACTCTCGATGAGGATCATACCGAGTGTTCGTGTTATCGTCTAGTGCTGGTGTTTAGAAGCTTTTTCCGACACCAGCCATGACGGCCATCAACATAAACACGAAATCCAGGAAACAAACAAAAATCTGCGCGAAACAGGAAAACAGGACAAGTGACAACTTTTCCTGTTTCGCGCAGATTTTTCTCTCGATTTTCGCTCAGATGGCTTTTCATGCAAGTATAAGCCTAGGCTTAGAGTGGTTAGGGAACGTGCTTACCTCGCATGCACATGAATGTGGCACCATTAGACCTACGTCTAACTTTAACGTTAAGCCTAGAGTTACGGCCACTTCAGAACTTTTAAGCGTTTTGCAACCTCACGGAGAATAAGAGGCTTTTGACTCAGCGGATTCCATTTTTTCCGGGTAAATTCCCTCTCGTGGAGAACGGGGAAACACAAGGTTTTCAGACGATCCGCAAGATGTCAAGCCTGTTGTTCTGCACGGTTGCTGAATCGTTGGTAATAATTCTGCTTTTTGGAATGACCATAAAGAAGAAAATACGCTTTTATTTTTTGGCAAATAAAATGAGGTTAATAACAAGAAATACCATGAAAGGAAATCCTTCGGTTCTCAAATGTCATTCTTCTAGGAAAATGATGCCTCATCTTCGAATATCACTGCATGTTGTCAAACATCACCTGCACAGACCACTGAAGCTCGGAAGGAAGAGACTTCGTTTAATCATGACTTTTTGAGGCAATTATCGCAACATTTTAAGTTATTAGCGGATATTTGTCATCTGAAAACCAGTAGCACCTCGTGGACGAAACGTCTGAGGAGGCCAGCTCATGATCTTTCTAATGAACAAGAACTCGTTTAAGTATTAACGGGAGTATGAAGCACGAAAGATGCGCTTAGGTCAGTTGCTGAGCAAGGAACCTTTTCATGTTTACAGAATATATTGCATCGAAATCACGCAAAAGCAGAATGGAAATTGAAACTTTTGTCGAACGCTTGAGTGAGAGACAAGGTGCATCCAGCCCAAGGGTAAAAGTAGTGATCTGACGACGTGCTCCCCCTCGCGACTTTTACAATTTCTAGACAAAATCCCATCTAGCGCATCCAGTGAATATCATAATTATGTTTAATATATATCGTGTCTTTTTCATCCATGGCAACTGTCCAGATATAAATTGCAATTCGAATTTGGATTAACGGAAAGCTCTTAAGGCAAAGGAGCCTAAAGACGTGATAGCCCCACTGATTATTGCAGGGCCGGATTAAGAAGTTGCGAGGCCCGGGGCAAGTGAATTCCTGGGGTCGTCCCCCCCCCCCCCCCGCTACTTTACGCAAATACAATACTTTTTTCGAACTAAAAGTTTTTAATTTCCTTCGGGGGCCCCCTGGATGAGTGGGGCCAGGGGCAACTGCCCCCTTTGCCCCCTCCCCCCCCTTAATCCGGCCCTGGATTATTGGGATTGGCCGGTATTGGCAAGGCATGCTTCCGTATTCAGAAGGGCTGCTTCAATGTTCCCGCGGATCGGCTTTCTTCTTTTTTTTTCTGTCATACTCGGCACGTAAAGCTTCCAAGCTGACTGCACCTTGATGCTTCATGGTATTTTGCCATAAAGTGCCATTGGCATGGCACTTTAGCATCAAGGGCAGTTAGGAAATGTCCTAATTGAAATTGATTTAATAAACCTCTTTAATTTAATTTAAATTTAATAAGCTTCAAGACTTTACTTCTGAATTATGAAATTTACTCACCCAGCTGTTCATATAGATAGCTCCAAACCACAAAAAATTTGAATGGTTATATAGCTGCAAAATGGTTATTCACTGGTAATCTCTACCATGCTCTCCATTTCTAAATCCCACTGAACATATGAGGGGTAGTCCAAAAAAATCACATCAATTTAATCCTTCACCTTTGAACCATCAATTAGCAGTTTCATTCATTTTGATCTGGTCAGATATAACTTCAATGCAACCCTCACCCAGACCGGCCATCCACAACACATTGCAGCAATTCCACATGTGAAAGAGGATTCTCACATTACTATTTTTCAGGGCTAATCGATGGCTGGCAACAGATTCAGTACCAAGTATTCCAACCTCTTGTCATGAAAAGAGAAGATGCATAGCTGAGAATATGATTCAGAGAAGTTGAAAAGAAGCAGGAAGTAAAGCACTTCAGCTGCATTCTTATAGGAAACTAATGTCTGTGGTTCAATACCTGACTTGGAAAAATGAAGAACTGCAGTACAAAAGAGAAGGCAATTTCTTTGATTTGAAGACAGTGAAAAGCATTTGATTTTCAAAGCCTCCATGGGGTTTGGCCACAGGAACTGTCAGGATCATCCATACAAATTCCATCTTCCAGCCATCAATCACTAATTGGTAATCCAGCAAGAGTGAAGTCAACAATAACAACTTCAGGCATGCCTTAGAGCATTTAAAAAATGCCTTGCAAGGGAGGGAGACTTAAAGATTGAATTTAAATATATGGAAGTCAATATATATTTTCTTCCTTTAGAAGCTATGCCTCATAAATGACAAGTATGCATTGTGTAGCCAACATGAACCCACTGGCCTTGAAGGATTTTTCCAAGTTAAGGGGTCTACAAGATCAGTAAGACCAAAACCGATAAACAGGGGTTTATTCAGTCATGCCAAATCCTCCTCTTTGTGAATTATATAAATTAAACAATCCATGAAACAGACATACTTCGCAAGATGCTACAACATAAAGAAATATCATTTTTCAAATCTAGGAGACAAAAGTGAAGTGCTGGTAAGCCAAAGCAAACCCTCCATCTCAGATTTCAAAATACTGGAATTTTTTGCACATCTCAGGACTGATCAGGGAAGTTTCCACATAATTCCCTGTCTAATGAGTTGTCCATAATACAAATTTGTAGAGGGGCTCAGTAATTAAGGCCAAAATTCATGTGCACACTCAACACACCTCTAGAATGAATAGCTTGGATCGTGAGCATTGGTAAATATAAAAATAGTCTCAATGAAAAGATACAATATCACCATAAATCAAATGTGAATATAAATTTTTTAACTATAAAAGCATTACCCTATTGGGGCAACAAGCAACAATGTTTAAAAAACTTCAAGGACCATAAAGAGATGAGCTTCAAGATGGACTCACATCCTCAAAACAGCACTTCTTGTGACCTGCTTCCTCCTGATAGTTTCCTGGCCCTGTCTGATTACACTCAAGCTCAAAGACAACACCTAGAAATCATAAATCCATACATAATGTAGGTTTTTTTTTGTAAATATCCAGTTGGACTTAGAGGCATCAGTTAGGCCAAGTCAGAAAGATAATTTGTTTAAATTGATGCAAGATATTAGCTCACTCACTTTCCGTGTGTGCTCGGGAAGAATTACACCATCAATCAAGGTGTGGGATGAAGCATGAAATGCAGACCCAACTGGAAAGTCAAAATCCAAATTTCCAGCTTCTACATTGAAATCTTTCATTTCTGATTTCCATCTCTTGAAGTCCTCTGTATCTTGCTTCATGGACAAGCAGGCCAGGGGCCACGCAAAGTTTAACCATGGTTGAAATCCTGGCCCACACTGGGAAAATTAAAGTGACAATCACAGGTTAGAATAGAAGAGATTATACAGTTTCAGGAAAATATAAAAGTAGCATACCATGGTATAGCAGTCATCCTCAAGGCAAGCTCCAACAGTGACAGCTATCTTAGGAACTTGCATATTCGAGACAGTTGCAGCCATCTTGGCCCTATCCTTTAGTGCAATTCCAAGATCCTCAGGATGTGAGTCAGCCAATGTCTGTCGATCGAGAGGGGAATTGTGGAGAAAAATGACAGGAATGCCACGCAAATCACAGAGGAATAGGAAGTGACAGCCCTTGAGGGAATCAGCGGATGTTAGAGCTCCGTGATGCCCAAGGATCCCAATCAACTGCCTGGAATCAAAGAGCTCATCAGTGTGTAGTTGGAGGCTTTCAAATAAATCAAGATAATATTACTGACCCATCAAGAAAAGCAAAGCCAGTAACAAGGTTGGCACCAAATAAAGGCTTGAACTCATGAAACCTGCTCCCATCCACAATTCGAGCTATTATTTCCAAGGTTGTGCTCCTATCTCTCTCTTCCACTCCACTGAGGGCTGTGATGAAAACATAGCTGGGGAAACACCAAGAAGGAAAAATAACGATAAAAAGTAAATAAAGATACAAACATACCAGTGAGATCACTAGATGGGAAGAGAGGCAGTTGGACTGATATATCTTTGGGTATCTCCTCTGAAGGTATATTCAGAGATGCTACAATGTCTCGGCATGAAGAGAGTGCTTCTTCTTCATTGCCAGAAAAATAGTCCAAGCACCCACTCACACTGAAATGGAATAGTCAATGTGCAAAGTGCCTTTCAGTTTGGAAATTGGGAAAATTCAGCTTTTAATATATACATGTGGATATGACATAATGTAAAGAAGATGGACATCACAACACCTATGTCATTACATTATAATAGGTTTATTGACAGTCAGAGTATCACCATCAAAATGTCTGCACAAGTAGGCATGTTGATTCATGTCCAGGTTTATTGAATTATAAGCATCCTGAGTTTGAGAGCATTACAAATTCATGAGGTGATTTGTAGTTGATTGTACCTGCAATGCATTGAGGCACCACCCAGCTCCTCCTCAGAGACAATTTCCCCTGTGGCTGCCTTCACAAGAGGTGGCCCCCCAAGGAAGAGAGTTCCAATGCGATCAACAATGATGGCTTCATCTGACATTGTGGGAGTATAGGCACCTCCAGCAGTGCAACTTCCACAAACTATTGCTATTTGTGGAATGCCTTTGCTGCTGGCTATTGCTTGGTTATGAAAGGTGCGTCCACCATGCTTCTTGTCAGGGAATAGATCAGCCTGGAATTGACCAATGATATTGTCAAATATTCTATCATTTAAAATAAAAAATATATATACTGTATCTGTAACCAATGTGAAAAAGCAGAGCTTGTCTTGTGGTATTGGAGACTCTAACTAGGTTGACTGTGGCCTATGTAGAGGAAGGAGGAAATCTGTTTTTGAAAATAGTTAAAAGCCCAGGCTTATTGGACAATATATTGGACACTTGTCAAATTGCCATTAATATATTAAAGAGAGAGAGAGAGAGAGAGAGAGAGTCTATGTATTAAAATACAAAGATAGAAAAGGATAACTCAGTCTTAAAGATGAATTGGACTTAAATCCAGGAAATGGAAAAAGAGAAATGCAATTCAGGATGAAGAAATCATGTCAATCCTATTTTTTTAGTGAAACATTTGTGTGATGAATACTTTTCTGGAAATTATGTCATTGGAGAAGGTTGTACTAGCCACACCCTAGGATTGGCTGTGGGACTTATTCTTACCTGCAGTGGGAGGAATGCACCTCCACTATCTACTAAATATATCATTGGAATATGAAGAGACTCAGAAACTTCTTGAGCTCTAAGGGACTTTGTCACAGTGATTGGGAAGAAAGTGCCTCCCTTCACAGTTGCATCATTAGCCAGCATCATGCAGGCTACACCATTCACCCAACCAATACCTATAGGAGCATTATATAAAATAATAAAGTTCACTATTAATTCCATAAGATAGTCTGGTCTCAATTGTTTCTAACAAAACTAGGTCAAGCTCTCATGAGCTACAGCGAATTCAAACTTTACATAATGAATTCGCATGATTACTCATATGACAGAAAAAAATAGAGGAGCTACATGAGAAAGTTTCCCTAACCAGTGACAGTTCCTGACCCAGGAATGTTCCCATAATCCATCCCTAATCCTGCAGTCTTTGACATTTCCAGGAAGGGGGAGTCCTCATCCATGATTTGCTTCAATCTATCTCTCACCAACAACTTCTTATTCAAGACAGTATGCCTCTCAATTGCTCTCTTCCCACCTGTTAGCATCAACCAGGAGCAGTATTAGGCAGTAATAACATGACTGTCAATAGGTGAACTAAATACACAACGCCTATAGTTTAATTATATGAAGGATCTGGAAAAAATAATAAAAATAAAAATTGGAAGACCAGCTCCACTTTCTTGCAATGGGTCCTAATGAATTAACGTCGTAGTCTAATTTTAGGCCTATTAATAGGTAAGGCCTAGCCAATTTGCAATTTGATGACATTGTGTGAAACTGACCTCCACTTTCGCAGAGAAACTCCAAGGCTTTAAGGATCTTCTCCCCAACGATACCAACACCACGAAATTTTAGGACATCCTTAAGGTGAGAGTCTTCCTTTATCCCATTCCCAATGACGGGGAAGGGTCTTTTTGTGTCGCTGTTAGTCGCATAGTTACAGTGAAAGACTGAAGCCACACTCGAAAGTGCTGACAGTCCCGGAGACGAATGCCACCGGGATAACATGTGGGTGATTGTGTCGACGACTTCCCTGAGAACCGTTTCGTCCTCAACGCGACAGGGCCATAAATCGTGTTTCTCAAGGTCAAGAGAAACCCGTATTCTATGCCCTACACCTTTCAGAGAGAAAAAGTACTCAATAAAAAAATTTCGCGATAAACCCTTCTAACAGTAATTGCAAACGAGGATATGCTTAAGATCTGCGGCCAGAACGTGATGGACATGTGTTTACAGTAAACCGCCATATTTTATATACATATATATACACGGACGCATGCGCCTTCGCTGCAAAGAAAAGAGTGGGTATCAATGTTATGATAAAATGTACCTCGCATAGGTCCAGGAGAGTAGATAAACTGGGAATAAGATCAGCTGTGTGTATATGGGCCATGTCTCATGATTCCTAGTTATGCAGTATTGAAAACATGGGTAAGCAGGGAGTACGGAAAAACGCAGCACTATGTAATACAGCTATCAAGGAAGATTTGGAATCGTCTAAGCGTTTTGGAGTTAACCCCTGGGAATTAATAAAACTCCCTGTCACGAAATCAAGGGCAACACCTTTCACACAGATACCGAACCGGGTTTGAGATGACTTTTCGTGTTTGTTGTTTTTTTACGCAAACACGAACCACCCGGAATTCATTGTGTCGCCCTAACACCGTAGGCAGAGTTCAAAGTCGGTGTGGATTTCACGCTACACGGAACAACAGCACCGTCTTTAAAGAGTCGCTCTAATGTTCGTAAAGGTCACAAAAATCATTTTATTCCGAGAATCAGTGTTTTTTTTTTGCATTCTGCCTTTCGGCTGCCATGCTGCGCTATCGGCATGTGAGGTTATACGACACAAATGCCTCGAAAACATCTCAGTAAACGCGGAGACACCAAATGTATTTTTTTTTTTATTCCCAAGTGAAGGAATGGTTTTTTGCTCGGCAGCAGCGAGAAACACGAGGAAGGTAGGGTGCCCTCCAGTGACATGGTAAATATCAATATAACTAGACTGGAAAAGGCAGTCGAAGATCTCACACCGATTTGAGAGGCTGTCGGCCATTGCTTAGTTACTGTCAACAAGATGAGGCATGGTATTCACGGTGGCGCGCGGCAATTAATGCCCAGTGTGTGTTCAGGGTTCGGTTGATCTGAAGGACCGATGACTGGGTCGGATATTATGTTTCACATTGATTAATTGGGATCGATAGATATTTGTCGTTTAGAGGGGTCCAGTTGATGTGACTGATTTTTCTGTGCTCCATGTACACCCTGAATCTAACGGTATGGGAAACGACTATTGCACACCTGTGCTGGTCTCACTTGGTTAAGTGAAATGGAAATAAAGATTGGGTTTCTACTCTTCAAAGTTGGAAAAGGTGGTAATAATAATTTTCGAAACACTGTAGTTCGTCTGTGAAGACAGGGTAGGACAGGAGACGGGATAGGCCTAGGCCTGTGTTTTACCGCTGCCTTAACATCTATTGCGTTATCACAACAATGGGACTCGGATTCTCTGGTCTGACTAGGTAATTTCCCCCCTTTTTTTCGTTGCAGGGTTGACTGAAGCCTCCACTGCAATGGTAAGCGTCAAAACTCACAGTGGAGTGTGAAGTGATAATGTAGGAAACTATGCGTTTATTGGGAGGCCTGACGGCATGAGTGATGGCGGCCACTCCTTCAAATTGGCGTGCGGCTGCAGCGCATTTCCCATTGGGATGTCCAGTCTATTTATATATACCATGTTTCTGGGGCCTTCACCCCTCATGGCACGGACAGGTCAAAGGACTCAATCTCAGCTCAAATTGCTTATTAATATTTAAACTATTTTTATCTTAAATATCTATACATTTCAAGCGATATCAAGCAGTACATCAATCTTTAACACGCCATACGGTAACCTGTCCTGCGTGCATCTCGATGTCTCCATTCATGCTAATAGGATCCAGGAATCGCCCCGGATTTCGATGAGACCGATTGAAGGCAGAAGGCTTCAGACGAAGCAGAGGCGAGAGCAGACGAATTCGAACGGATGGATCCCGCCTCCCTCGCAGCTTTCCAGGAAGAGACGCTGGAAAGGCTCGGGTGAGTCCGTTCCCTCGTCTCTCTGGTTGTGTCGATGATGACGACGATGTTGGCAGATGAGGGATTTCAGGGGGAAAGCTCTCTTCTCCTCTCCGCTTTGCTCGTGTTGGGACTCGGAACTTTCTAAAAGGAAAAAAGTATCAGATGAAGAAGAAAAGAGTTACCGTTCCAGAAGTCGTAAGCATTTGTGACATCATGGAGACGAATGCGAGATTTCTGACGTGGAGTTAGTGTACCAGGAGCTAGAACCGGCAAGGAAGTATTTGAATAATGGCATGAGTGAATAGTGGAGCATGCCACAAAACATTTGCCATTTACTGTATGGCATTCGCGAAGAGAAACCAGTGGCTCCGAGATGCAATATTATTTCAATTCTTCGAAGTAGAATGTGAAACGATGACAATTCCCTGATGGCACTATGCAGTATGACTGACCGATCGCGCTGGAAAGGGTGGCCATATTTTCATTTTCCCTGTGATTCCTAATAGTATTAAAAGTCTCATGAGTCGTGCCAACTCCTCAGTTATCAGGATCGCTCAGATTCGGTCGGCTCGACACTCACCATCACAGATGGAAAGGGGAAGCCCGCACGTGAGTCGACGGATCTGTGAGATTTGGGCCCACGAGTAACTCCGTTTGCAGGCTTCGTTCACCAGAGCCCGAAAACCGTCAGGGTCGCAGCACCGAATGTTGTCTGAATCGAAAGCGCAGTCCTCCGCCGAAGACGACGATGACGAAAGGAGTAAACATACGTGGAAGAGCAGGACCACTGGGCTCGATTTCATTGTCGTCTGCTAGAGGAGAATGACACCCAGACGATGGGGAACTCGGGGACTGGGTCCTTGTCTTGTCTGTCGTCTTATATGCGCCGTGTGAGACGCTCGTCGGTGGCATTCTTGGCTCGCGGTGTGTCGAATCCATTTTCCTCGTTTCAGACTTCCTTATAATCCGAATTAAGAACAGCCATGTCGGGCATGGCTCTTCTACCAGGTCTCTTTATTGAGGCTTTCTGGTTGGACTAGATCGCCCTATGGCTAATGCTGCTGAACCGATTCGTGTAAATGAGGTACCGATGAGCTATGCTTCACCCATATGCCCGATCCGAAGTCAGCTCTAACTATAAATGAAGCAGGAGTAATGTTAGCTTGGTTGCAAAGTGTATTTAGTGTATTTTGGGAATTACTCCCAGGAATGGTTTTAATCTGTGCTCGTGCGTGGTATAAATGTACGAGCCTACGCCGGCTCAAAGGAATTATATCTCTGTTAGATAGATCAAGTACCACAAAAATGTCCTGCAGGTGTCAAAGCAACAAGAAGTTTTCAGGCACCGAGTGTGGTTCAACTGGGTTAATGCCTTTCTAAGAGAAGAAACTTGGCCGGTCTTGATACCCCATGCACCTCCCAGCGTAATATTTGAATAAATAAATTCGCTGAGGATTTTGAATGATGTAGTGAGACACAGCCGAGTGTCAAGCTCCCGTTGCCCCTTTCAGCTTCATGCCGTGTTAGTTTTCGCCTTGTATAGCAGGGTTGGGTGGTTTCTGTGTTAGAGTTTAGAATGCGTGGGTCGGCCATAATTAATTTGTAATTCCAAGCCGAGGCATTTTAGAATGTTTTCATTTATCTTTTTGCTTCCTAAAACAATGTTAACCTCTATCGTACGGACTTTTTAGATACTTTGCTCCCTGACGGCCGGAATTTAAGTACGCCCTTTAATCCTTGGGGATTAAAGGGCGCACTTAAATTTTCATTATTATTAATATATCCGTCACTTTTTGAGCTAGCATAATAAAACAAAAACCGAATCGAAGAGCATAAATTGTTGTAGCTGTTGACGATTTTCTACAATTTTCACACACGTGCAAGCATGACGCACTTGCTTGATAAACTAAAAGTAAACTGTTTTGGTAGCCGGTGTTGTCGTCACGTGACCTTCAGTCATCCACAAGCGACCACTTATCAATTCCCAGGAACTAATACAAAGGGATAGACGAAAGTTTGTTAAAACACACACACACACACACACACACACAGGCCGTGCCAAAACTATAGGGACTTTCAGTGATACAACATGTCCCTCTCGGCCGATAAAGGTTAAGCTGTAACGTAAGCTGTATCCATGCCTCTCGTCTCGAGGCTTTGTCATGCATGCCAGCTGAATCTGACACGCAAGCCACAATTCTTCATACCATGCTTCTGCTTGCAGATGATAGATGATACCTACGCAACCTTCAGATTAAGAATAAATGATTAGCCGGTGTTGGGATATGTATCACTTGTCTCCTTGGATTCGGATGTAGGGATAAACGGAGGGTGGATTATCAACTCCTTTTAGCATGTTTGTCGTGGTTATATAGGTTTGAAGGAAAAAAGCATTTCGGTTTTGAAATAGAACTCACTCACTTACAAGCCGCGGGACATATTATCATAGTTACAACAATATGGAATATTCGCGATATAATTTCCTTTTTAAAGAAGATAAGTTACCTTCCTCCTAGGAAGAAAAACGATCAAAGAATATTTATAGCTGTACGGAGTAGCTGAGACCGAAATACCAGACTGCAGTCGCCGTGTTGGCGACAGTCTTCTCGGTCGGCAGCCATTAAGCCTACCGAGCTGCTCAGTCGATGGAACTGCGTAAACGAAGATGAAGGCACGAGAGAAAGTGCGTTAAATCTTGGAAATATCTTCTTTTTTTTTTTACGCGATTCGAAAGCGATTCGAGAGGTCGACCGGAGCGGAGTGAGTCGAGACGGCCCCGAGAGGGATGGAATTGCCTTTTGGCTCATGCCGACGTCACTAATCATCGACGCTGTTTTCGCGTCCGCTGGCAATCATAGGTTGTCAGTAGACCAAAGGGTGACGCCAAAATGGCTCTCACCTGTAGGTTAGAATGGAGTGGCTTGGAGTGGCTTATTTTCCTCGATTCGGTCCGTCAGAAAACAAATAGAAAGTCTGAACTCTTTCTCTTTCGCTCTCTCGACGCCAGAAAGCCTCGCGATACTCGCAATGAAACTGCGGCGGAATCTCTCGATCTGAATTCGTAGCAGTCAGAG